GCAGCGCGGTATGGGGGCCCGGGCTGCGGGCGGAGGCTGCCCTGCCCGCTCGCTATTTTTACGTGCAGGCCGTGGACGCCGACGGGCAGAGGTAAGCGCGGCTGGGGCGGGGAGCGGCGGAGCTTTCTGCGGGCCCTTCCCCAGGCATCCCCGGGCAGCCCCTTACATATTTGCGGGCCCGGGGTCCAAACCGCAACGGCTGGATTTCTTGTGAGGGAGCGAAGCGACCACCCCCCCCCCCCGCCGCCTTGAACCGCAGCCGTGCCCCCTCCTCGGCCAGGCCGACCTTCCCTGCCCCTGTCCCGGCTGAACGAGCCGCTGTCACCTCTGAGGCAGAAATTTACCTGGGATTTTCCTGTAGAAACGGAGGGCTGAAGGCTCCCTGCGTGACTTTTTCTGTGTATCACTTAGAAAAAGCTTTTCAGGAGGATCAAATACCTGCACGAGAGGCTGAGACAAGAGGATTAAAATGTTAAACGGCAAAACATGGGTATTAGTCCAACCAACAATTTATGGTTTATTCTGCTTTGTCAAAACCTTAACAATACCTAATATGTATAATTTATCATACATCTGCTCAGGTGTCCTGCTTGTTTCCACAGTTAGGAACATCCATATTTCCCCTAAACACGTAGGCACAAGATCAGTAGAGTCACTTAGGAATTACTGTATAGGCCATTCGGTAAACCTCATAGGAATGAAAGAGGTAAACTTAGTTTTCAGAGGATACTCGTGGCTTTCCGTTTCTACAGGAAAGAAACCCTGACCATAGATGGGAGCTCAGAGTGCTCCGTCCAGGTTGTCCAGATTAGATGCACCGTGGCACGTGCAAGTCTGGAAGCTGCCAGTTCAGCTTGTCTTGAAGAGTAAATATTTCCTGCATTTAGTTGAACTGGCAGCTCTCTAGTATGTCTGGGCAAGTTTCAGGAAAGGTGACCGGGCTGCTGGGCTGTAATCCGTTAGTCCACCTGCTCCCACCACCTCCCTCTTTATCCCAAGCTCTCCCTACGTATTTGGGACCGTGTTTAAAGAGGTGGAAGAAAGTTGGCAAATGTAGCATTTTGACTGTGCCAACTTTGTTAATACCTCTATGATATGTGATAACTTAATGGTTTTTCAAATTATTTTATTGGGTTTTATGGAGATTTTTGTATGATTGGTATATGGTGAATTTTACCAAAATGTCGGAAGTACACAATGAATTACATGATCCCACTGTAATGTTTTTCCTCCACCAGGACACTGGCATCTGTAATATCCTTTTTTTCCCCTGTATGAGCTACCATGATGATTAAGAAGTTTAACTTCGTTCTTTACTTCCTTAAATAATACCTGGAAAATAAAGTAATCTGGAAATGTCTTGCTCCTGTATGTAAAAAACCAGACTTATTAAGCTGCTAAAGTGAAGTTTGTTCTAGTATTTTTTTATAGAATGATAGAATGGTTTGGGTCGGAAGGGTCCCTAAAGATCGTCTAGTTCCAACCCCCCTGCCGTGGGCAGGGACACCTTCCACCAGACCAGGTTGCTCAAACCCCCATCCAGCCTGGCCTTGAACACTTCGAGGGATGGGGCAGCCACAACCTCTCTGGGCAACATGTTCCAGTGCCTCGCCACCCTCAGAGTAAAGAATTTCTTCCTTACATCCAATCCAAATCTACCCTCTTTCAGTTTAAAACCCTTGCCCCTTGTCCTGTCCTGCAGGACAGGACACCAGGATATATCTGCCAAGATCCACTTATCTGCGTGCTCGCTACCTTCCCATCATTTTACACTTGAGCTACTACTAATCAAGATCTGTGCTGGATTTTTAAAGGTTCTCTATTCCCATATAATCGAAGACCATATTTCCAACACTGTTCAACATGTAGAGCACCAAGTGATGTTGGAGGTGTGTTCATGAGCATCGGAGTGTAGCCTAAAAAAATTCTCTTTGGAAAAATCGTGCCTTGCTTGTGAACATTAGGATGTGTTTGTGAAGGCCTGGTGTGGCTCGGTGAAGTCACTGGAAATCTGTCAACTTGAATGGATTGGACTAAGAAAGCTGTTGTGCGTTTCCTTTTTTGTTAAGCTCCCGCTTATTCTCTGGGTAGGTTCACTTCATCACCGGGTGAAAATGCCTTCCAGGTGAAGATCACTGCTCCTGATGAACAGTTCACTCGGGTTGGTGTGCAAGTATTAGACAGGAAAGATGGTTCCTTCCTTGTAAGGTATAGGATGTATGCAAGCTACAAAAACCTGAAGATAGAAGTCAAAACTGGAGATAAACATGTCGCAAAGTCTCCATATATTTTAAAAGGTAAGAAGCAGCATTACACACAGTTTTCCTATCATGGCTTCTTATCACAAACTGTGTCCCAGAATGTCTTCTAGAATTAGCATAGAACTCTGCGGGACCTCAGTACTTCTCTGGACTATCAAATCCCATTGGAATTACGGATTCATTAAAAGTGTCCTGTGTGTACTATTCTAAATAATAAAAAGAAACAAATGCTGTGAAGTTGTTGCCTAGCAAATACATGTAGAGGGCTCATGCAGATGCTGATGTAGCTTGGCATGACTTCATTGGAGTCAAAAAAAGTTCAAACGTGTCCAGTTAGAGTTGCTGAAGGTTTGGCCCTAAGCAATGAATGCTCAGTGCCTGACCCTCTTTTGTCATCTCAACAGCTCAGTAGTGTGACTTTAAAAATAAAATAATAATTGTGTTCCTCATAGGACCTATTTACCATGAAAACTGTGACTGCCCTCAGGAGGAGAGCAGTGCATGGCTGGAAGAGATGAACTGCCCTCAAATCATTCCACAGATTCAAAGAGACCTAGCAAATTTTCCCGTAGTTGATCCAGATAAGATTGCAGAAGAAATTCCACAGAGGTTTGGACAAAGACAGAGTTTGTGTCACTACACCATCAAAGATAATGAGGTATGGAATAGGTTGATCTGAAGTCTGTACGGGGATTTGGTGCCAAGTCCTACAGCTAGGCTGTTGGGCTGTTCCCAGTTCAAAGGCTTCTTGTAGTCTGTTCTTTAAGAAACTTCCTTTGCTTGCTTCTCTGTCCTGCAGTTTGTATATGAGCTCAGCAATATCTGTTCTACTTTGTAAAGTGCTTTTTGTCCCTGTTACAACTGAAGCACAGTGAAAGCAAATTACTTTCCAAGCAATCAATATGAGTACTGGGCACAGACCCAAGTCTCCTAAACGCTAATTCAGTTTCCTGTTCTCTGAGTAATATTGCTGTGGAGTGTTACGATTATCTAATTTGACATGCATCAATAAATTACGTTGTGCCTAATTCTGAGGTAAAGAAATGCCACTTTTAGCTCCACTGAGGATCAGAGCTGTAGTTCTTTTTAACAAAATGGTACTGACTTCAGTAGAGTTTCATATGGAAATGAGAACAATGGAACACAACAGCAACAGGCAACCAGTTTCTGTTTCCATGAGACAGACCTAAAACATTTGCAAAAGCAAGCAAAGCTTGTCCTTTTTTTTTGGTCACTTTTCTGCGATGAGTTAGAGGGATGAGATTCTGAAGCTTCTTGGCTGATTCATAAATCTGTACAGCCATACAATCTGTCTGACTAGTTACTAAGTGATTAAGAGAGCTCTAAATTGTGCCAGCCATTCTCTGAAATGAAAACACCAGACCAGTAAAAACCTGTGTTTATTTTCAGGTTTATATAAAGACGTATGGGGAACATGTTGGCTTCAGAATTTTCATGGATGCCATACTGCTTTCTTTGACAAGAAAAGTGAGTACATGTATGTCCTAATTTATAGAAGCCTGGGCTTAACAAATATACTTCAGCATATTTGTTGCTATTTCTGTTGAAAAGTTCTTCTTGTTCTTTGATTAATAATGGAAAGGTCAGATGGATTTTCCTTGTTTGAAGTTGGCATGTTCTAGAATGCTATCTGATCAGCATATTTTTCCATAGACTAAATAAATCATCCTGTAGCATCTAATGGAAAGTTCTGTCTCCACTAATACATTTTACAGGATGACTCAAAAAACAAAAAAATAGGGAATGTATATTGTTCCCCATTAAATTCCGTATGTTGAAAACAAGACAGGAAGGGTTCAGAAAGAGTACCAAAAGCTCAACAGGTGGCGTGTGGGGAAACTCCCTTCATGTACAAGCAAAAAGCACCATGCGGACTAGGGAAACTGTGGAAAAAACCTGACATTATGTACATAGTGACAGTATATAGCAGGGCTGAAGTTTCAGCACACACAAATAAGTGATTATTACATAAAGAGAGTAGTAAGAGAAATACGAAGATACCCAAGTTAATATCTATTTTTTGACTGTAGAAAGACAAAGCACTTTGTCTTTTAAAAAGGAAAGAAGGAAGAGTGAGGAGCTACTGAAGTGTGGAGTTGTTCACCTAAAAAAATTCCTTAAAAATCTAATACAAACTATACACACTATGTCTAAACAGCTGAAAGATAACTGGTATGAAACAACATGGATTTATCCTAAAAAAAAGTCATAACTATATAATTTCTTTCTATAACAAGATAATAGACTTCCCGTATGGATGTCAGGTATCTTAATTTTAGTTAGGCTTTTGAACATAAGTCTCACAAATTTCTCATAAACAAGATAGGAAGACTTTGCCTAGAAGAAACTACTGTAACTTGCTTGGAAAGCCTTACTTGGAGAATAGTTGCCAGTGTTTCCAGAGGGGCAAAAGGCATCCCAAATGTATTCTTCAGAGATTTGTCCTAGGTTCAGTCCCTGTTTAATAACTTAGTTATATTTTGACTGAGTGATGGACTGGAGAATATGCTTATTGAACTTTTCAGATAACAAAAATTGAAGAGCCTGCAAGCACTTCATGGTACAGTGTGATAAGTAAAGATTTTCTTAACAAGTAAGAGAAACTGTATGGAAAAATGGATAAAATAAAGTGACACGGGCTGGATAAGTCATTTAGTTCTGACACCTATTTAAAATAGGGAGGGAATGGTTATTTTCTGCAGAAAAATGTGAAGGTTACAGTATCACAAATTTAATGTGAGTCAGCAGTGGCATGCTGTTGCAAAAAGCTAAACACACACATTAACAGAACAAACGCATGAAAGAAATGTAAAGTAACCTTTCCACTATACTCAGGATTAGTAATGGATCAGTTATGCTACTGTGTCTGCCTTTGGGTGTCACGCTTCAAGAAAGATTGTTCAATTACTGACATTGCACAGGAAAGTCGTAAGAATGACTAGACATACAAATGAAGATCCATTTAAGTGGGGATTGTTTCATCTAACAGTGTCTAAGGGAAGACATCAATGTAGCCTTTAATTATCTAAAAGATTGCTGTGTGGAAGATGGAAGTAAGCTGTTCTCGGTGCCGGTCGTGTTGGACAAGGAATAATGGAATTAAATTGCATCAAAGTTATTTAGGCTAAATGTTGGAAAAGGTTTGCTAACTCCTAAGACAGAAACTGTTTACAGATCTAGAAAACACAGTTTGTCTCATCCCCATTAAATACTTTAGGAATTTCTATTAAGACAGTGTCACTGAAAGACAATAGATCTACTGGGTTGGAGAAGAAGATTGCATCTGCTGAATGATTTTGCCATTGAGGATGTAGATAAAATACAATGTGTAGCTTTTCTATGTCCATTACAACCATTAGAGGGCACTGTACTAATAAAGTTTAGTGCTGAAGATCAGAACGTGTAGCCAAACCCCCTTTGAGATGAAGGTACGCAATAAAACCTTTCCTGTCTGTATACTGAAGACAAAAAGTACTGCTTTGGGTCTCTGCCTTTAGAATTTCTGGATGTCTCTGCCAAAGGTTTTCCTGTGTCGACAAGGTAGAGAAGAATATCTTCAGCCGTTTAGGAGGGTGTTTGATGTTTGGCAAATTATAAATTTCTATCTCTGTCCATAAAGATAATTTAATCTAGAAACTTAATGAAACCTATCTGGACCACAGAAGAATCCTGAAATGTTAGCCTCTGACCAGCCGTTCTGATCTGAAGAATAAAGGGGTTTGAGAGGAGAAATGCTTTGATGCATATATATGATGAGTCATCAACAATATGTTTAAACTCTATTTTTATGTGTATATATATATTTTTAATTTGAGAATTATTAACATTTATAAATGTTCTTTCTTCAGAGAAGATATTTTCTCATGTAGGTATTAAGATAGTTGACGATAACACTTGAGCAAAATGTCCTAATCACACACATACAACCATGATCTCTAAATTATCTGTTAGTAGTCGGGACAGAGATCTTGGAGTTATTCCAACAGTTTTCCACAAATGCCAGTATAATAATCACATGTTTGTAATAGTCAAATACCCAGTTAAGACTTATTAAGGAGGGAGGCAAAAACAAAAGAAAAAAAAAAGATTATGGCACAGTATAAAACCTGTGACATGTCTATCTTGTGAAAACGGTGCAGTTCTCATTTCACTTTCTCAAAAAGAACTACACAGCAAGAAGGCTGTTGGGGCATGCAAAGACAAGCTAATTTGACTAGGATTCTTTTGCTTGGAAAGAGGCAGCTGAGGGTGATGTAGTGAAGATTTATATTTTTAAAAAAAATTAATGTCACAAAGAGGGTGAACTAAGAACAGATACGACATCAGTTCTGCATTGACATTATACATGCCTTCAGGGTTCTGTAAAACTCAACCATATGTTGCCTTCAGCTGTCCAAATTGAAACATCCCACCATTTTCAGTTTCTTCTCACAAGGCAGCTGGTCCATCCCTATCATAGTAGCTGCCTTTCTTTGTGCTTTCTCTTACTTCATTTGCAAATACCAGAACCACACATAGTGCTCAAGATGGAGGCACATCAAAGTTTCATACAGCAGCAAAATTATGCCCTCTGTCATGTTGTTATAACATTTCCTGGCTGTCAACAGTATTTTGCTTGCATTTTGGCTGCGACAGTGGTTTCAGATATGGTTCCATACTACAAACTATTTTAAGTAAGTGAGGATGTTACGCTTAATAATTAACTCCAGCACTGACTAAACGTGGCCTTCCCATCACGGCTCTTCATTTCTGTTACTTCTCTTCTGTTGGATTTAAGTCATCATGCAGACATGGGGTAAATCAGTTCACTGATGTGACACAAAACTAATTTACCACCCAAAAGCAATTTTCCATACAGTCAACAAGGTGGTTCAGCTTACCTTGGAACTATACGATTGCTTACTAGATCCCAGTGCTAGCCTGGTACAAAGATTGTGTGGCCAATTATGTAAAGTATAACAAGAAACCATCCTCTAAACTGGGGTGTTCCTATCCTTTAAAAAAAAAGAGAGAGCATTTATGTGACTTTGTGCAAATCTCTAAAAAAAAAAATTACCTTGTAGGCTTTACTCTGTGGTCTCAGTACTTCTAACATGTTTTTAAACTTTAATGATTTATTATAGGTACATTAAGTATATTAGAGACCTGGCTATTTTTTCTCTTAGTGAGGTTGTTTTCAAAATACAAGATGCCAGCAGAAGAGTACTGCTTTGAATTAAAACACATTCGTGCCTACTTTGCTTCTGTTTAGGTGAAAATGCCAGATGTAGAATTTTTTGTTAATCTGGGAGACTGGCCTCTGGAGAAAAGGAAGTCCCCACAGAACCTGCACCCCATCTTCTCATGGTGTGGGTCCAGCGAGTCAAAAGACATTGTCATGCCAACATATGACTTAACAGACTCAGTTTTGGAGACTATGGGACGGTAAGAAATTGCTTAAAATTTTCACAAAATTCACAGTGAATGGTCTTCCAAAAAGATATTTGTATTAACAGTATATTAACTGGGTTTATTTATTCATTGAGACATTGGCACCCTGCGGGTAGGCAATAACTGTGTAATCAGTATGTTAACATTAACCAAGTTATGTATTATATAACATAAATGACATACATTAAAATACTTAACTGTTTTATTTAAAAAATCAAAATTAATCTAAACATGGTCAAGTCACTGAAAACACCACTTAGAGGGAATGTTTCAAGGGTAGGTATTTTGTTTGTTTGCTTTGTTTCCCCCCCCCCCCCCATGAACATGCTGGCAACTGGCCAGGTCTTTTTTTCCTGATTTTCCGAGAATATTTTTTCTATACCTTTTAAAGCCCAGCGTAGCCAGAATTCTCAACCTAGGACCTACCATCTCCCACTTTGATTACTGATCATAACTCGCCTTGGTAACTGCTCTGTTGCTGTATCAAAACACTACAACACCAGCTTCTAAAATGATCTTTGTAATCCATTTTGAACCTGTTTATCATTTCACTGCATTTAGATCAGGGTCCTTTGTGTTTATTATCAAGACTTTTCCTAAATTTGCTTCCCCCTGCCCACCCCAGTTTATGTGTTTTTATTTAGCAAAGTTTTTAAGGAGGTGAAATATGTTGTATTAAGCTAGTTAAGTTACCCTGCATCACCTTCATCTGTCTGGCAACCATGTCCACTTCCGACTACTTTTTTCCATGACAACTGACAGGTACTCTTTCCACACGCCACGTTGTCAATGAACTGATGCTGTTGTGCCACAGGCCTGTGAACTTGATGTTCCTTATCTGTTTTTATTGCTGCAAAATACCTATACGGGTGTGCTCATGACTGACTTACTTACCTTCATCCTTGGTATTTGCCTGTTGGTACTGTAAGCTCTTCTAAGTAATTGCGTTCAGAAAGATTTCCAGTAGGCTTCACTATTAAATCACTTCTTTCTCCTCCAGAGTCAGTCTGGATATGATGTCAGTTCAAGCAAATACTGGCCCATCATGGGAAGACAAGAATACCACAGCATTCTGGAGAGGGCGTGACAGCCGCAAAGAGAGGCTTGAACTTGTAAAACTCAGCAGAAAATATCCAGAGATCATAGATGCTGCTTTCACAAACTTCTTTTTTTTTAAACATGATGAAAGCCTCTATGGCCCCATTGTTAAGCACATTTCATTTTTTGATTTTTTTAAGGTAAGCTACTAACCATTTTTTACAGAACTATGTTCTCAGTGTTTCCCATTATCAAATAACTTTGTATGTATTATTGATAATAAAGTGATTATTAGTTTTTCAGCACAACACCAGTAACAAGCATGAACAGGCATCCCTCCAGTGGGATTAACTGCTATGTAGCTCTTACACTGAGGATAATAATGTTTGATTTACATCTAAAGGTTCTGTAGAACCTTGTATAATCTATATAACTCCAAGTTCCTTTTTATTTCTTTTTCCTGATTCAGCGATCAGGACTACTAACATAACTAACATAGTGGGAAAATCAGTGGATGAAGTGGCACATCTACCCTCACATCCAAGGATGAGCGTCTAAGAATTTCCGGAGAACTTAATTGATGAAGAGGGCATCTCTGTGTTCCCTGCACTGTGATGAATTCCAAACTAAATAATAAAAGCTACTTAAACATTGATGCTTGCCTAGCCAATCCTACATTTCTCAATATCGGCAAGTCAGTAACCAGCGCCCTCAGAATAATATAACCTAACCAAGCTACCTGGATCTTCTGTTTGTTAATAACTTATGGTCATTTTCTTTCCAGTATAAATATCAAATTAATATTGATGGCACAGTGGCAGCATACAGATTGCCTTATCTACTAGCAGGAAACAGTGTGGTGCTCAAGCAAGACTCCATCTACTATGAGCATTTTTATAACGAGCTGCAGCCATGGAAACATTATATTCCATTTAAAGGTGACCTGAGTGATCTACTAGAAAAACTTCAGTGGGCAAAAGAGCATGATGAAGAGGTAAATATACATTTAGAATTAGTCAGCAATGTTTCTAGGCAAAATAGAGCGAGCAAAAAGTGCATTTATTTAAAACAAAAAAATCTATTATTAGGAACACTTAAAAATTATTGTCATCAACTCTACAAATAAGAAAAATACTTTTGAAAAAATACATAACACTGCCCTTAATTTGAAATTAAAAACTTTGGAAAAATTAAGTGTATTTTGATAAGAATGCCTTACTTTTAAAATTAAGAATGCTTAAATAAAAATAAGTAAGTTATCCTAAACTGTCAACTCTATACTTAACTCCAGAATCAACACTGGCATCCTGAAATAACTACTGTTTTTTGAGAATTAAAAAAACCCTTTTATTTTCTTTGACAGGCAAAAAATATTGCAAAATCTGGACAAGAATTTGCAAGAAACAATCTCATGGGAGACCACATTTTTTGTTACTATTTCAAACTTTTCCAGGTTAGTGTATATTTTTAACGGCTCCTACCACAAAAATAGAAATCCCACAAAAAGAATTCAGGGCAACAGAGCTGCTGGAAATTGGCCAGTCCAGTACTTGAAGCCACAAAGCGAGCAGCAGCCATTAGGAACTTCAGTTGGTTTACAAACTCTGCATGCAGTTATATCCTCTGAAACCACTTAAGATTATGCTGGCGCTTCCGAGAGCAGCAGTCAGATCCCATAAATCTTGATCTAATCTGCAAGAATATGTTGCCCACAACGATCAAAGAATTCCACATCAGACACATGCCCTGTGAACCACAGCTGCAAATATCTGTGCATTAGCACTGAGATGCCGAAAGTCCAGCGAGGCACCCGCAGGGGCTCCTGTCGGCAGTTAAGAATCCGCTCGCCCTGTCCATGACGCAGTGCGGAGTAACAGATTGTGTAGCCCCAGAGTTTTTACGGAATTACTCGGCTGAGTTGGTGCAGTATTTACAACTGGGTATACACGCTTAACAAGTTTATGAATTAACACCGCCTTCCTCTTTTAAAACCAGGAATATGCCAGCTTGCAAGTGAGTGAGCCAAAAATCAGAGATGGGATGGAGAAAGTGCAGCAGCCTGATGATGACCTTTTTCCATGCACTTGCCACAGAAAAAAGGTACAGTATGTAGAACGTTAAACGTAAAGTGCTGGATGTCTTCCCTTCTTATTCAACCAAACTGGAACAGGCATTGCTCAATAGCCCATGGTATTGGTTACCAGACCGTTAATGCCTATCGAACTTAGAAACATTTTTTAATGTATTTGCAGGACTACACAGTTAAAAATTGAGTTTCCAATTAACTGAAAACTGTTTCTTCTTTCATGACTGCAGGCCAAAGATGAACTCTGACAGAAGGAAATGAAATAATTTTTTTAATATTTACCTACATTCAGACTGTCATCTTAAGGAAAGAAGAAAAATTTGGGTTAAAATGCCAATGCATAATGTCAGTGGATATTATGAAGATTACTGTATCATGATCTACATCTGGAAGAAAACCAAGCACCCCCTATTTCCTTTTTTATCATGCAGTGGTTGCAGAGCCTTGCTCAAAAACATTTTTATAATTTTTTTTTTTTAAATAAAAAACATGTTTGTATCAGTCATGTGTTACTGTCCTGAGATACATTGGAAATGCAGATACTTTTTACTCATGCTTGTTACACTGAGTCTATTCACAAGTGTTCTGCAAAAAAGGGCAGGTAAGAATTTTAAATCTACCCCCCCACCCCATGTATCCAACCAAAGTAATCTTTTTCAGGCCATGACTTTGTTCCTCCTGAGAGAATTGGTATTCTCAAAGACAGTGATGTGGGGTTTATAATATATCTTTTTAACCTGAAGGGAAAATGCAGTGCTATTGGACAGTTCAGGAATATTAGATAAAACTTTTAAGTTCCATACAATTTTTCACAGCTGCTTTGTCTGTGAAACTCAGTCTCTTTGGCAATATGAAAAGAATTAAGTAGCACTGAACAGTGACTACTGAAACTAAACCAAACATTTTTTCAACAGTCTAGTCTTTTTAAAATAACCTGCTTTCCAGTGATACTAAGCAATTCAACTATTACTTTTGACCATATCAACATCATCCGAAAATGATCTATAGGTGAATTTAAAGTCACGTCTAAATCCATCAAATCCTAAAGTTAACGCATATGTTTCCAGTCCACAGTGAGGATTTATTTTCTCTGTAACACAGCCAGACAATTTAAAATTCATACAGCTTTTTTCTTTGCAAACATTTAGATGTGTGCTATGCTTATGAACATTACTGCTGGGCCATCAGCATTCTTGAGGCATCTTGTGAGAAACAACAGAAGAATATTGTATCATCTGATTAACATTTTTAACTTTCACCTGCCTATTATTTTTACTAGAGCAAAAGCAAGCCTAAGGAACGGTTTGTTTCATCGTGTGGTAAACAATATATGGTACAATTTAACCGTACTAACCTACAGTCTTGAACAGATTTTTTTATACAAAATAAAGCTCCCCGATCTAAGCACCTTACCAAAACATGACAGAAACCCTCTCGACTCACCAGGGCTGACCCGGCGTATGTTCACACCACATCTCCTCGCAAGACCATGGGAGTGCCGGGGACAGCACCACGGCAGAGTAGCACAACCGATCCAGGCCAGCCTCGGGGACTGTGCTTGTGGAATTTTGCACAGCAGTAGGTTTTCATTTCGAACAAACAGCATCAGTAGTACACTCAGAAATGAAAGGCACCTAAAGATTTGCTGTTAAATAGATTTTTTTTCCAATATATTACTTCAAGTATTAGTCAAAAGCATTTACTTAGTGTTGTGGCTTAACCCCAGCCAGCAACTAAGCACCACGCAGCCGCTCACTCACTCCCCCTCCATCCAGTGGGATGGGGGAGAAAATCGGAAAGAAGAAGTAAAACTCCTGGGTTGAGATAAGAACGGTTTAATAGAACAGAGAAGAAGAAACTAATAATGATAACACTAACAAAATGACAACAGTAGTAATAAAAGGATTGGAACGTACAAATGATGCGCAGGGCAATCGCTCACCACCTGCCGACCGACACCCAGCCAGTCCCCGAGCGGCGGTTCCCCACCCCCGCTTCCCAGTTCCTAAACTAGATGGGACGTCCCATGGTATGGAATACACTGTTGGCCAGTTTGGGTCAGGTGCCCTGGCTGGGCATGAGAAGCTGAAAAATCCTTGACTGTAGTCTAAACACTACTGAGCAACAACTGAAAACATCAGTGTTATCAACATTCTTCACATACTGAACTCAAAACATAGCGCTGTACCAGCTACTAGGAAGACAGTTAACTACATCCCAGCTGAAACCAGGACACTTAGTGGTCTCTATTTCTAAGTGTTGTATACAGTTATTTGCAGAGAAACACAGGAAACAGTGCTGCCATATTAAATATTTTGTAAATTTTTTCCTTCCTTTAAAAAGTTCTTTATTGTTTTGCATTTTTTTTCATTCATACAAAAAAAGTTTTATTTGCATTTACACTCAGACCTCTGAAAACACCTGTTTTAAAAAAACAACACCTCTCAGAAATAAACTAATCTGCCACATTTAGGAACAGCTAAATGAAGATACTGCAAATCATTCGTGCTCCAGTTCAATATTCTCTCTAAGCCAAGAAAAAACTTGGGCATTTATTTCTTCCATGACATCCTCTGTTGTCCGTCCTTTGACTGCCATCCCATGGTTTGCTTTACCAACCCAATGGATTTTCTTAGGGGCTTTCATTTTGCTTGCCACACCTTCTAGCAATTGCTATGGAGAAAATAAGAACGAAAAAGTTAGAGAATCTAACAACTGCTACAACTGGGCAACTCCTAGATGTCTCTTGCTTTGCCTGTGCAACGCGTAATAGGCAGCTCTTAAAAACAAGATGGATCTGCGTGCACATTAAAAACACCTTGATAGAAAAGATGTGATGATAACTGTATTCAGTCATGGAATTTGCTCAAAGGTTTGTCCTCACTCAAACACAGAAGAGCAGAAAATTAGAACTTCAAAAACTGCAAAGATCACAACTCCCTGCAGGCTCCTTCCCCACACTGACGAAGGAATCCACTTTGACTGCCAGGGAGTAGTACTAGCAATAAAATGACATAACTTCTTAACTCAGATTTGTCTACAGTGGCAGAGTAGCAATCCGATTCCCTAGAGACTGGCTTTGACTCCATTCAACTTTCTCAGCAAACAGATTTCAGAACCAGCTCAGAAAGCCTTAACGGTTTCCCTTTTAAGAGGGCACACCAAGGATCTGCCGGTTGCTAGCCTGACTTATTTTCGTGACGACAACTCACGAAAGCATTATGAACTCCTCAGAAACTGTCCAAGCATGGAAAATGCCAATTGCACGCACCCCCAAATTCAAGCTGAACTGTTCAAGAACAACAGATACCTATTTGCAAGAAAACAAGGCAGAAAAGCACTGTATTCTCATCTCTGCACACCTGTTCTTCATCTCTACAAAAATACCGCTTTCTACCACAGAAGTCTGACTTGTGGATAAAACTGCTTTGCTAGAAGAATTTGTCATGAAAATGTGATGAATGTGAAATTGGTAGCACAGCAGTGTTTGCGTTTGTAACCTGAAATGGTTAAAACAGAATAGCAAATAACTTGCTCCTTCCATAGGCCGCTTTTAATTTGTACAATCCTATCAAAAAAGACATTACATTTAAATCAGCAGTATTTTAGTAGCCCAAAGATGAGTTTGCTTAAGTGGATGATTAAGCACAATGCAGAAGTTGTAAGCAGTGAAAGAAAGCACCACCAGGCTTCCTCATGTCTGATGAAGTTTCCTACCCAAGGCTTCCTTCTGAAGATACATATATATTTAGATAAGGCTGTCAATCAAAGTCACAGCTGTGTATACCAGTGCAGACATCACTCAGACTCATACCTATTCCTCCATACTGCCCCTTCATAGCAGGATTTACAAAGGTACTCACTTTTTCACACATTTCATCTGCTGATCCCGAGACAAACAGCACTGGACACCTTATGAATAATAGATCTTCATCCCGTAGCTTGGACTGAAGTTTTGGTCGATGCAACGGGTAAGATAAACATATTAGACCTTGAATGAAGTCATCATCATCATCCTGGCTAAGCTGACGTATCACAGAGGCAGCAGCTCGTGAGCCCATGGAACGGCCTTTCTCACATGTTAAAATAAAGGAAAAAAGGGTATCTGCTTCTGTCACCTCGCCTACATTCTGTTCAAGTAAACAACTCCTAAAAACAATCCAACTGAGTGTATTTCAGCGTACCACTAGTACAAAATGCCAGGCATGCTTTTATTCATCTACTCCATGAAAAATATTAATCGTAATTTCAACATTTTCTGCTAAAATATTTGCCTGGTTATATTATGATTTCACATCCCCATTTAAAAAAGAAGGGGAAAAAAAAAAACCAAAACATAAACAGAGAGGGTTCCTTTGCAATACTGGAAGAACAACAGCCCATCCTGGGGGCAGGGGGAAGAGAGGGACAGGTCCTATGCTCCAGAGCCTTGAAATTCGAGATAGCAATGCTGTTATTATCTTGGATAATTTTTTTCATGCAACCTTAATCTGCTCAAATTAATAACAAAGTTTTATGCGCCTTACTTCCAAAACAAACCCAGCAGGTGTTTATGCACACCTCAAACTTCAGCCTGGGAGTAAAAGTAGAAGGGCAGAAAAAAAAAACAACAAAGTGTGAACATGTAGCATGAGGTCAGCCAGTAACAGCAAGGGGATATCAAAATATCTCCTCAAAGAGGAGGCACATGAGTTGACAATGCTCTGTAATTGAGTGTTGGAAGTGGCCAATTCCAGTGGGATTAACTTGCATCAGCGCAGATTTGGTTTCACTTAGTCAGAGAACATTCAGAGTTTCCCGTATCAAGTTATTCCTAATCACACCCATCTACTTCCCTTTTCACATAACAGATCTGATTTTTTTTATCTGCCACTAGGTTTTATCTACCAAAACCTGTTTGGGGAAAATGGTTTTCCATTTACCAGTAACCAGAACTCTTCAAGACCTGCAGTTAAAAAGCACACATGGATTATCACAGATCTCATGCCCTGTCACTTACAAGTGACAAGGAAGTTTTCTCCCAAAGTACCTGGAAAACAAGGTCTATTGCTCTTTCCTTCCTCCTTCTGGAGTGAGATCTGTGGCATCACGAGGAGGGCGAACGGGTCTAGACAGCTGTGCTCCCAAGAGAATCCGATGAAAGCGGCAGGCTGGGTGTTCCCATTTGTGACCCGACCAGCAGTGCCACCGGAGAGCTGAGCTGCACACCCGTCCTGCACAGCCACCGGCTACAGGGCTGGTTGCATTCAGACACCCCAAATGCAGATCTCTAAGTGGGCTTGGCACCTACGTTCCCACAGCAGTCATGGACTGCTAATCAATTAATGAAGGTCACAGAGCATTCAACTGTCAGCAGATAGCTGAATTGCTCTCCCTAGGCCATACTAGCAGGAGTTTATTCCACTTGCTCCCACGTTAGACTGCAAGCTTTCAGTGCCCACCTCAAACTGAAGCCTGTCATCCCCATCTGTTCATTCACTTCTTACCAAAGTGGGATAGACTTCAAAAATGGAGTAGTTACAGACTTCTATCATTAGAGGCAGTATAAGAGAGAAAATTATAGATAATAAAAACAATACCTGCAAGGAAGACACCCAAAAGTTTATAATCATCAGAAAGCTTTAAGTATTCCTAAAGAAATAAGATAAAGAGAAGCATTACAAGTCAGAATTAAGACAGCTGGGAGGGTGGGGATTTTTTTGTTTATAGCTACCAAACACAAGATGGGAAGCTCTTTCAGTACTGCAGGTTAAACAAAAGAACAGATACATACAAGTTGCTCTCTTGTTTTTTCACACAAATGTTTTCATAACATTTTGCAGCAACAACATAATGAACACAAGCAATTTCACATTAGCTCTCAGCAAAATACCAGATGCCCTATCAAGTTACCAAAACATTAAAGATTACTGTGTATCAACTTAGTTATAGTGACAGACAGCTGCACTCTTAGCCCATCAAAAGGCAAAACAAGTTAGCAAAAATGCCCTTCACTGAGGTCACATATTCCCAACAAAAAGTTTAAGACAGTTATGTCTGACAGAAGAGATAAAATTCAGCAACGAATTTTTCAGTCTTGAGGAGATAACTAATCAGATGCTATCTTAGCAGAGGCCTTTACATTACTTTTACACAGCAGCATATTAACATAAACTCACAACATTATGCTTCTTCAAAAAAGAATGGAGAACAGATCCACATTAAAGCTAGCAAAGTCTAACTTCAAATTAATGTACATATAATCACAATAACATCATACAAATTAATTCCTTAAGAACTGGGCTTAGTCCCCCTATAAAAATGTCTGATGCTCAATGCAAAGTGCTCAAGCTACCTTCACATGCCCCAGTAAAAGTAGCTAGATGATCAGAAGAAAATTTTCACTCCTTCCTACACACTCCAGAACAGGAAGATACTCTAAGCTGATACTATTATAACAAAAGGTTACTCATTTTAACAAAACCTAGGTACATAAGAACATCTTAAATAATGTAGCAGCAGCAGAAAGAGATAAGCACAGGCATATAACAGTTTAAACTGATTCTGAAATCAAAGACTGTTTTGGTTCCAGGGCTCTCATATGCTACTCCCAATCTCTTTTCTTCAACTCCTCCTACGACCCAGAGTCCCCTACTCTTTCCCCAAAGTCTTGTTCTCCCAGCTGCCAGAGACCCAGTGCAATTCTCAGGTCAGCTGCTTTCCTCTCAAAACCACTCCCAAAGCTGTATCCCTTAATCCCCCTCCCCTCACCAAGCCCTCCCAGAACACCTACCTCTTGTTTCCATCCTAAATACTTTCATTTTTTCAAGCTGTAAGTTTTCCCACAAAACACCCTTGCTTTCTTCACATCCTTCTCTGAAGCTTTTCTTTCTCTCCCTGAACTCAAACCCACATACTTGCTGCAGCTGTTCCAGCTACTGCCCATATAAAAATTGCTCCTGCTGTTTCTGTTCACAGACAGTGCTCCATTTCACTAACCGTCACTTCTAATTTTCCCATTGTTGCTTGACTAATCTGTGGTCACAATTTAAGAAACCCAGAAGAAGACATCCATGGATCTAAGCTTTGGCAGAATTTGGTCACTTCTTACCACAACTGTTTTGAAGGCCTTAGTCCTATAGGCAATGTTAAGGCCTTTACAAGTAAATCGCAGGCACAGAACTCCATGGGATGCAAGATAAGCTGCCAAAGACACTAAATGAGGGAAATTCATATCTCCTCCAGCTCCATGGGTAAGAATCACTCCATATGTTGATTTCTTCTTTGGGACAGAAAAGATAGCATCAAGGTATTTGTTTCCAAAAGGTATTTTCACTTTAACCTAGAAATGAAACAAAAAACAATATAATAAAAAAAAGTAAAGAAAGAAAGCATTTTCCCAGTCCACACCTTATGATGAAGAAAAATCAGACAATTTAGAAAGAAACCAAAATTGCACGTCCACTTTTATTCCTTCTGTTTAAGAGTACTAAATGAGAAACTCTACCTCTGGCTCAAAGATTTTCCATGCAATAATGGGCAAGTCACCTTATTGGTCCACACCTTATTTTCTTCATTAGAAAATGAAGTGTCCCTAGCTTCAAAGGATGCCTCAAGGCATAAACTGATATGTTTCTTACCTTCTCTATATATCTATATCTAGCTATTTAAGAGCTAACTGCCATAATTGACTTGAATATTAAGTCTTCCACAGTAAGAAAAATTAACTCTTCTGTAAGACTTGTTCCCCAGGGCTCGGTGTTGGGGCTGGTTCCGTTTAATATCTTTATCAATGATCTAGACAAGGGGATCGAGTGCACCCTCAGCAAGTTTGCAGATGACACCAAGTTCGGAGGGAGGGTTGATCTGCTCAAGGGTAGGAAGGGTCTACAGAGGGATCTGGACAGGCTGGATCAATGGGCCGAGGCCAATCGTATGAGGTTCAACAAGTCCAAGTGCCAGGTCCTGCACTTGGGTCACAACAACCCCACGCAGCGCTACAGGCTTGGGGAAGAGTGGCTGGAAAGCTGCCCGGTGGAAAAGGACCTGGGGGTGCTGGTCGACAGCCGGCTGGATATGAGCCAGCAGTGTGCCCAGGTGGCCAAGAAGGCCAACGGCATCCTGGCCTGTATCAGAAATGGTGTGGCCAGCAGGAGCAGGGAGGTGATCATCCCCTGTACTGGGCACTGGTGAGGCCGCACCTCGAGTCCTGTGTTCAGTTTTGGGCCCCTCGCTACAGGAAAGACATTGAGTTGTTGGAGCGTGTCCAGAGAAGGGCAACCAAGCTGGTGAAGGGTCTGGAGAACAAGTCCTATGAGGAGCAGCTGAGGGAACTGGGGCTGTTCAGCCTGGAGAAGGAGGCTGAGGGGAGACCTGATCGCCCTCTACAGCTGCCTGAAAGGAGGTTGTAGTGAGGTGGGTGCTGGTCTCTTCTGTCAGGTGGCTGGAGATAGGAGAGGAAATGGCCTCGAGTTGCACCAGGGGAGGTTTAGGTTGGATATTAGGAAAAATTTCTTTACTGAGAGGGTTGTCAGGTATTGGAACAGGCTGCCCAGTGAAGTGGTTGAGTCACCATCCCTGGAGGTATTCAAAAAGTGCATAGACAAGGCACTCCAGAACATGGTTTAGTGGGCATGGTTGATGGTTGGACTCGATGATCTTGAAGGTCTTTTCCAACCTAAATGATTCTATGACTTAAAAATAAGTAAGAAATATGAACTCTTCTATAATTACTGTTTCCTATAGTGGAAAAAGTATTTTTATCTCCCATCTGTCACAGACATTATTAAAATAAAAGAATTAAGGAAGCCCCTAAACATTTATTACAACCAAATTACTTTGGGTCTGTAGAGCCATATAGAGTATATAGTATTAAGAGAAGCCCATGCTGGCAGCAACTGTTTAATCTTGTAGCTGTAGAATCCACGTACAAGCATGATTACATGGCAGAAAGACCAAAACGGAGTATTAGGAAAAATGGATCTGAATACACTAGCTTTAGGTATTACGCGCAACTATAAGAAGAAAAACCCCACCGGAATGACTTTTTTCATGAGGTGATGGCAGATGTCACGAGACGCATATTTCAGCTCTGTCTATAATCGATATAGCCGGCGTTGAGCTGGAGCCGCTGCCCCTACAGCCCCTGCCCAGCTGAAGCGAGCGGGGGATGCCAGGCAGGGGACTTCAGCCCCGGAACGGCCGGAGCCGCCTCAGCGCAGACAGCCGGCCAGAGGGAGGCTCAGCCGGACCAACGGCCGCCTTCACCCCGCTCCCGGCCGGCCCCCTCCCCACCTCCGGCGGCTCCTCACAGGGGAACGGCTGCCGCCGCGGTACCTCACGCAGCCAGGAGCAAAAAGCGCGGGCTGAGGGGAGAACGGGATGAGGAGGAGGAGGGCGGCCATACCTCTGCCCGCCCGCTCATCCCGCCGCCGGGGCCGTGACGTCACGCGAGCGACAGCCCTCCGCTTGAGGAAACCTCCCCGGAGGAGGGGCGGGGGGGCGGGGTTAGCTGGCTGCCGCGGTGTTTGATTGGCCCACAGGGGCGCGGGGCCCCGCCCCGAAGTGCGGAGCGAAGTAGCCGGCCTGCGCGGGGGCTTCAGGGGGAGAAAATGGCGGCGGCGGGGGTGGGGGGGCGGGGTGGGGGGGGGGGGGAGCGGTTCGCAGCCGGCTCGGTCTGGGCTACCGGTACCGGTACCGGCAGGTGTTAGCTGAAGGCGGGAATTTTGAGCGGGGATTGGGTTGAGCCGTGTGGGGAGGCACCTCTGAAGTAGCCCTCAGAGGCCGCGTCCGGGCGGGGTGGGGAAGCATCGGCAGCGCCCGAACCTCCCCGGCTTCTCCCCACTGAGGCGGTTAAGTGCTGCTGTCAGTTGGGTGTCCGGAGAGACAGCAGGCGGGTTCTCTGGCACACCGGGCCTGCGTGGTGTTCACAGACAGGAGAGCGAGCCTGCGTGGCCCGGCATGGCCCGGGCCGTGCTTTACTGCACAATAATAAAACCTTGTGTGTTCAAAACGCAGCCTTAAACTGACGGACAGCGGCACCAATACTCTACTACAGCGCTTGCAGTATTTATATACCAGCTGTTTCACAGATAGGTCAAAAGAATTTTTTCTAAAAGCCCCTGTGGCAAGGTATTTAGTCAGAGATCACGTTTTCTTCCACTGTCAGCGTATAAGACTCATATAAATTAGGATACTCTATTACTTAGCTGATTGAGGATGCCATCAGCAAGCGGAACTTTGTTTTTCTGGTGTTCACCTGCTGGAAAATAAGCACATGTGCTGGCTTGCACTCCAAGCGCCCTGCTGTCGCTCCGCCGGCTGGATATTGTCAAACGCTGGCATCCAAATACCGCAGGCTTCCGAAAGGCGAACCTGGCAGGCCAGCTCGGATGTACCCACCCAAATTCCCAGCCCAGGCATTGTTATCGTAAAATGTAAGTGTTAAGGGCAGAAGCGGAGAAGTTCGGCTGTAGTCGAGCTGAAAAAGACAGCGTTATTTGTCTAAACTACTACCTTGCCTAAAAAACATCAAGCTAAAGTGAGATGCGGAAGCCTAAAGCTGCGTGAAAGGCGCCAGCGCAGACTGCATGAGTTGTACGCCTTTCGCTGGGAGCCGGACTGCAGGCGGTGTTGAGGCAGCGGTTCCTCGAGCTGTAGCTCACATTTGGGGAGTCCAGCAGGCAAGGGGAAAGCCAATGCTTCAGAGTAATACCAGATTGACTTATCTTGGGTGGAGATCACACTATTCCAATTAATACTCAATGCCAATTAAGCCTTTATAAATGAGATGCTTAGCAAAAGAGAAGATTTGTTACCCTGAAGCAGTTACAACCCCAGCCCCAATTCAGAGCACAGGAATGCAAGGAAGAAGAAAGAGAGTTAAGAAAAACTTCATGTTAATTTTCTAGTTTTTTCTTCTTCATTGCTTTCTTTCCTATACTTAATGGATGCTTACCTTCTCTGGTATAGTTTATATTTTTGGTGGTGTTCTGCTTCTTTCTGGGTCTGATTTTTGAATTCTCTCTTTTCTTTTTTTTTAAAATTATAGTGGCCCAAGTATTGCTAATATGTCAAAGGCTAGGAACTTTAGATATAAATATACATATTAGATTCCAACTTACAGGTATATTTTTTATGATGGATAAATTCTGGTGTTATGAATTTCTGCATATGTAATGAAATCTGTTGATTTAAGTGTGAAGGAATTGGGCTTTTTTATTTTGCAACATGAGGCAACTCTGATATCCAGCAACTCAAAATTAGGTTTCTGTGGTTTTAGGGGGACATTTAAGTAGATCTGGTTGATTTTCAAGTGAGCTGAGTAACTCTTCTGAAATCCAGAAGTATCCACTGCCAGGAGTCATTAAAAATCATAATGCTTTTCTTGACATGCTCAAATACAAATTAAGACTCTAAGTTTAAGCTCCTGTCTCTGAAAATACCGTTTATAAATATTTTCTGAACTTCTGAGTTAATGTTTTTAATTAAACATCTAAGAAAACATGATTTCTTAAGATGCATGGCATAATTTTATAACTTCAAACTTACATCAGTCTTGGAAGTAGAATTTTATTCTGGAAAAAATATATGGTGCATAATAATCTGAATTTGTCATCAGTTATTAAAATTATGAAAGGTATGTGATCTGACATGTCTCAACAAGAATATATGTTGTGTGTTTTAATAACCTATACACTGCTGTAAGCACCTCTGACAGATTTGATACGCAAAAGACAGCTGGGTTTGAAGAAACAGTGGCTGTTTATCAAAGAATGACATTATCCCCAATCTAAACTTGGGACCTGTTAACTTTCAGTAGCACATCAGACAATCCCTGTTCTTTTCCTTGGATTATAAATACAGCTTTTCATACCAGAGACTTAGATTTATATGCAATAGGAACAACAGAGATGACCTTTCCCACTAATCTTGTGTCAGAACAGATTTGTTTAGGAAAATGTATAAAAATAATTATAAAAGCATAAAGTAATACAGGTTTTTTCCTGTATTTCAGTGCAAAATAACTAAAGGCTGAAGGGCATGGAGATCAGAAACAGACAATTTTTTTCTTTTCTTAAACTTTTTAATAAAAGACCATCAAAATTTGTTTTGTTTTGTTTTAGGCTGGAGACATACATATTTGCTTTAAAAGTTCAGCTCTTACTCTAAATTAGAAACTTGTCCTTTGACCAAGACCCTTCATTTTTAATTTTCCTGAGGATGTGGATACACAGCAACACGTGCACATGTTGTGTGCACAGGTATCAAAAGCACCTTTACTAATTTTCTGAAAGTGATCAGCAAGCTATTATTTGATAGCCAGTATAGTTTCCTGAGTTAAAAAGTAGTGATATGCATAACGCTGGCTAATTTTTAACTATTGTATCATACTTCTTGAGGGTCTGAAAAGATTTTGAGGTCCTCTGTGAAAGAAGTGATGGGCAGGCAATAAGCAGCACCACTATAGCATGCAGAAAAACACAGGATTTTAGCGTGGTGTGTGTAAATCCCCATGTCTTCATGATGAGCTGGAGAACTTGGCTGTTTGCATTGGATGACTTTCTCCAGGAAGGGTGAAGGAGCAAGCCAGATGCTCACATTCTGCAGATACGGACGTCGACCACCAGCGAGGTCAGAAACTCTTGGCTGTAGCTTCCCTTGGGACCTTAGGCTAGTCAGAAGGTGAATTACTCAAACCAAACTGAAACCATTTCTATTAGTGGTAATTCTGTCATTCAGTCTGATAAAATGTATTTATTAGGGGATCTGTTCATTTAACATTGATAACAGTGTTGTTGTTTTATTATTCTAGCTTTTCCTGTGGTCTCGGCTTTCTCCCTGTGTCTGTCCATCATTAATTAGCCTATTCAGACTGCAATATATCAGTAACACGCTTACTGTAATGTGCATTTGTTAGATACTGATTTTTATGAAACTATGACATGTACAAAGAACTGGTGTCTTTTGTAGCGTTATATCGGTCACAAACTCTGGGAGCACAGATAACATCAGGTAACAAATGTGCAATGCACAAAAAGTTTCCCTTTCAAACTGCACGAAGGTCTTTGGGAACATTTCTGGCTTTGTAATTGTCGTGCTAAATGGAAGGTCCTTGCTTTAATTAAGGAAGGTGTCATCATAACGTGTGCTTCTGGATGGCAACTTTTGGATGCTATACATTTCTCAGGGTCTTTGTTAGGGATTTTGTATTCCCTCATTGTTCTGGATAAATGCAACCGCTCTTGTTTTCCAGTGGCAGCTGTTACAATTCATTTGTGTGCTGGGACTGCATGGGGGACTGCTGGCAGGAGGTCGCTCTGGCTATTCTCTCCCTTTGGCTAATGGTGAACTGACCCGGCCAGGAGCCAGTGGAACAAACCTTTCTGCTCCCGCTGCTGCAAGGAAAGAATTAATAGTTTTGGCATGTTTGTACAATCTTTGAGTGCTGAACTCAATTCCGTGTATGGTTTCACTCTGAAGGTTCACTCTGTTTCTATCTTTTGCTTCTTCAGAAGATTAGCATGGTTAGGGATGATAAAGAACTTTATTGCCCCTGCTAGGATTACCATTATTGTGAACATTGTGTTAAGATCTGAGACTCTTTAACATTTAATTCTTGGTCTAAAACTGATATCCTCTGCAGTCATGTTATCAGTCATCCAAGTGAGTTACTTACCTGGAGATTATTGCTATTTATAAACACAGTGTTACAGCCCCTAAATACGGGAACTCAGTACATTTTGCATCTTGTTGCAAGCTCCTAGGCCATTTTCGCTTCCATTAATAAATTGATTCATTCTAAGATGCAGAAAATGACATTGCACCTCTCTTTACCTTTAACTCACACAGATTCACACAAATTAGAACAGGAAGGCCTTTGTTTATCCATAAGTTGTCAGAGCATGGGCAACTGCAGAGTAACCCTGAGGCTCTGCAGATGTCTGTCGTACCTTCCTCAGTTATCATTCCTCCAGGTCATTTCTTTCATTTATGCAGATGTTTGCTTTCTAACCATGTTCTCCAAAGCATTCCAGCAATCCCACTCAGCCTCACATTATCTGTACGTTTAAAAGTACATTATCTACTCTGTAATCCAAGATATTTCTAGACGTAGTAAATTTCAGAAATGAGCACATGGAACTCTCTTTGATTTATTCTTCTGTTCCGATAGAATTCCACTGGCATCAGTGAGAAGTGTTTTCTGGCCTTGCACGTGTGCTGTTGGAAGTTTAATTTACGTTACAATTCTCTAGTCCGACAGAAGCAGTGGCAAAGTTCACTAAAGCCTGTTGAGGATTTCTTGGCTGGGCAAAGGCATGTGAGCAATCCAGCCGTTATGTGGGAACGAAGCACAAGTTTACAAAATACTGGAGCAGACAAGGACGCTGTGTCCTTGTACGCTGGGAAAAAGGAAGATAAGAAGAGCCTGACAACAC